GAAACGTTTCATTAGAGAAGAACCCGTCCAGAAGACCTATACAATTTTTTTCTTTTTGATTTTTTACCTGGATTACTGAGATGCATCAGGATATATTTCCTATGGAGACTTTTTTTTCWATATTGATTCAAATGTTTTCAAATCTTTATGAGGCTTTTGTTTTCTAATTAMAATTTAAAAAGAGGCTAAGGGGGGAAATAAAGTCTGAATAGTCAAGGTACTGATAGATTTGTAAATAAAGCGGCACAGCGAGGCAGTGTTTAGTAAAGGTAAACTTTGTTTTTATTATCTTTAATTCCTACATTTTCACAACTTTTTAAAAAGGACTCTGCTTGTTGGATTGTTACCCATCTATCTACCCCATGGTGTACAGGCTTTTAAAATAACATTTGCTTAAAATCGCTGTGAAATGTTTGAGATTAGAGCTGTTTTGAGTCAGCAGCACCCTGCTTTGGTCTGGGCCCCGCTCAGACTAGCCCTTAGCTCGTCAGTCCACTTTTTTTTTTCTAAATGCATTTTGTTGTATGACATAATTGCCAAATAATGTCTTCATTATTGTCTTCATTCATCTGGTCGGGTCAGACTCTGACTCCAACATAAGGCTGGATGGACAAGTCGTCCGTTGTTGACATGTTTTAATTAATTTCACTGCTGCTAATAAAGTAAAAAAGTTTGTGCGCCGCTAGTCGTAAACCCCTCCGTCAAACTGGAATGAACCGCTCTCGAAGCCGTAAGGGGACCGGGCATGAAGCGCCTTGTTTGGATTTAAAGAAACAGCCTCAAAACGAGTTGATCTGAGACAACCTCAGAAAATGGGTGAAGTTACAATAAGGAGGGSTTTAGACCAAAGCATTGCAGTTCCACTTATTTAGACCCCGACTAAATTAATTATATGAAAAGTAAAGGTTTTAAAGCAAGATATGTCCACTTTAAACTCAATTTCTCCAAAGTGAGATTTGTCAAAAAGCTATCTACAACAGGTAAGATATTTATTGTTCGTGCATCACAGCAGCCCACTTCTATGGAGCTTTTTTTTGGGCCATTATTTTTGTTCAAAATAGAAATATTTTGAAACTGAAAAATAATGTAG